TGTTGTTTGTTTGTTGTTTGTTTGTTGTTTGTTTGTTGTTTGTTTGTTGTTTGTTTGTTGTTTGTTTGTTGTTTGTTTGTTGTTTGTTTGTTGTTTGTTTGTTGTTTGTTTGTTGTTTGTTTGTTGTTTGTTTGTTGTTTGTTTGTTGTTTGTTTGTTTGTTGTTTGTTTGTTTGTTGTTTGTTTGTTGTTTGTTTGTTGTTTGTTTGTTTGTTGTTTGTTTGTTGTTTGTTTGTTGTTTGTTTGTTGTTTGTTTGTTGTTTGTTTGTTTGTTTGTTTGTTTGTTTGTTTGTTTGTTTGTTTGTTTGTTTGTTTGTTTGTTTGTTTGTTTGTTTGTTTGTGTAGTAAGTTGGCAGCTAAAATGTTCGTTATCCAAACAAGAAATTATATACTAAAATGCGTAAATTCTTCAGTACTTTTTACCGAAATGGCATGTTATAAAAACCAAACATATAGGTTGCAGGTTCCATGAGTCCAAATTCGTTCGGGAAACTTCCAGCCACCCTTGGTGCGTCCAATCCCGGACTCACCTCAGTAGTAATATAGAGGCCGTTCGACCCTTATTTTTGCGGCCGTGGAGGTGGTGGAGTGTGGTGGTGGAGTGAGGAGGAGGAGGAGTATAGGTACCGTTCGACCCGGATTTTTGTGGTGGAGTGTGGTGGAGGGAGGGTGCGTAATGACGTCACTCATTAGCATAAGTCATAATTACATGCAATGACGTCACGCGGTAGTTTAAACAAGGACGTGTGAAACTTGCTGACTACGCATTTTTTAGCGTCCCCCACGTGTATGATACAATAGGGGACTTAATATTGGCTTGCTATGAATAGTTTGTGTCCCTCGCATGGCAAAATTGTTATCGAAATTAATATATAGCAGACTGGTTATAGCCGTATCTTTGCTCGGAAGAGATAAATTTCCACAGGTATATTGAAGGACTTTTCGTATGTTCCATATCGAGGAATTTATTCGTCACAAAAATCAAGACATATTTTAAACAGAACAGTTCCTAATCCCGAGTTGTCAACGTCGTTGTTAAGGTCAATAATATTAATATATAGCAGAGCTATAGCCGTATCTTTGCTCGGAAGAGATAAATTTCCACATGTATATTGAAGGACTTTTTGTATGTTCCATAGCGAGGAATCTATTCGTCACAAAAATCAAGACATATTTTAAACTAAACAGTTCCTAATCCCGAGTTGTCAACGTCGTTGTTATGGTCAATATTTGCATGTTGTTCAAGATTATTTAGCAATCCTCCTACATACATATATACTGTTAAGATGATCATAAGAAAACTTATCAAGAGTAGAAGTTAGAATTAGAACAGTTGTAATATTTTTTGACACTATCGTCTGTTATTTGTATCAATAAACATGTTTTATACTTTGCAAATGTTGCGTTGTTATGCGTTGCTAAGTCATTAGGAGGCGTGTGGGTAATTAAGGGGATTAAGGCAATACGAATTTGCATAACTAAGTGTATCCCGATGGATAGATAGGGATTATTTTTAACGCAGGTGTATACCTTAAAATCAGGCGCGTGGCTTTGCGGGTACATGCATATATTAAAGTACAACATATTTGTACACGGATCTTTTCGCGCGGGCGGAAAGAGCGGGCTTTGCCGGCAAAAAATTACACAATATTTCAGTTTTTAAACACATTTATTTCTTCAAAACGTTATACAAAATTTAGTACGGTCTACTTCTAAGAGCGTAACGTCTAGGTGTTTTTGTTATTTTTAAAGAGTTCTCATATTCTTGTCTATCTTCTGGGGATAACTTTGCAAGTTTTCCCGGCTTCATTGGAATATATTTCGGTCTATCGCTCAATATAAAACGTTCATAATCCTCTCTTGCTTCCGGAGTCATTCGCGCTAGGTCACGTTCGGTCCAATCTGCTGGGTCTTTTATTTGTCCATTTTTGGTGTGAACTCCAATCCACCCGTCTTGGTGTTAGACGTACCATACGAACATAGCTCGCAGAAACCAATGACATGCGAAAACAGTAGAGGTGACTGTTCATCACATATCATACATTGAGCGTCTTTGCCCCAGGAGAAATCTTTCCACGAACATCTTGGGCACTTCATTAAGTATACAATGTGACCAGTCTCTTCTCCACAATGGTTACAAGCTAGTTTCTCGGGCTCACCATCATCCTCATTATCATCATCCTCATTATCATCATATTCGCTTTCATTATCACCTTTGTCAGATTCCCTGTTCTCTTCACCAGATTCGCTTTCAACATCACTCTCAGATTGTGGCATTTCATGTTCCTCCTTTGCCATTTTTGACAATAAATACTCATTTTTAATTAAATCTTTATTAAACCCTGCTTCTACTAGACCTTTTGTAAACAGGTCGAGCCCTCGTGGTTCAGGAATGTGAGAGTTGTATGGTAAAAGTGCGTATTGTAAAAAGTTCTCGATGTTAGTACCAGGAATGTCTCTTCCATGATAAACAATCTCACCCTGAGGATTCCAAGTTAAAATATCACTTGATATAAGAATAGAATGTAGCATTTTTTCTGCTGTAGTTTTTTGTATCTGCGCGTAGCGCAGATATATTGCTATCGCGTCAGTCAGTAAAGTAAAGTAAAGTAAAGTAAAGTAAAGTAAAGTTAAGTAAGTTAAGTTAAGTTGTTAAGTCCGTCAACCTTGTTTTGAAGGCCTGTTCGCAGGCTAGAACAGCTTTAAAACAAGATGGCGTCTTTCGAAAAGCTTTCAAGAGTAGTAATCATTAGTAATCGTGGTATTAAACTATTAATAGACTTTATCCTGACTTTATTTTGATAAAATCTTCTTCTATAGCAGTCTTGGACTGATATAACTCTTACAGTCAAACCGGATGTTCTGTTCCCATGAGTATTGCAACATTGCAATCAATCTTGCAATGTTGATTGCAAATTGCTCCGAGCAAATTACACGCAAGTATTCAACTGTCATTTTTTCAAGCTCCTATCACTGCCGTGTTGGGGAAAGGGAATAACAAATCAAAAGGACTAATATTGTGCCTACCACTTGACAAATTAAAGGTAAACTGGAATGTATAGAGGATATTTATACATGGTTGTGCGGAAATATGTAATTTATTTCGAGTGTTGAAGAGAACTATTGCTAACGAGTGAGCGTAGGAAATTGCAAGTTGTTCCATTATGTGATTTAATAATCTAAATTTTTGAGTAAGGTCATGGACATATTGTAATTATTATGAGTATTTACTATTTTATCTTCGTATCAAACCAAATATATAGCATTGCCAGCTTTAATTGGTATTAAACTCTGCCAGTTTGAGAACATATGTTTACATATTTAACTACCGCAAAATAAATCCCTCTTTGGCACTGAATTTTGCATGTTATTTAGTATTTTTGTATCACGTTAAGATCAAAATGGACATATTTCTTGAATAATACTTTTAATCTGTGAAATGATATATATAAAAATATTAGTCCTCATACTTCGTTTTGGATTTGTTACTCAGTTTTGTGATAGATAGGGGACCAAAGCCTTGATATTTCCAGAGGTATTAAAATACAAAATTAGCCTGTGACAGTATGCTCCTGATTTTACTTCATACTCGATTTGGAGCAACACAAGTTCTACAACAAGAACGTACACGATGTACTGTGCAATTATAAAACGTCATATTTATAGATATTTGATTGACATGTTTACGCCATGCATTTCATACCGCACGGGTTTTCCCTGAGTTTTTATAAACAGGACCTGCATTTCCGGCAATTGTTTTATGGTTGAATCTTCACGAAACAATTACAAATTTTAAAGGGGAAGTCAAGTCCGTAATGTAAACAAACGGTTTGTTTACATTTTGAACTGCTGCATTTTTTTAAATATGATGTACTGTCTGAATATCTAACACCATTTTGGTTCGCTATGCTTCTAAATGAATATGAAATAAAGTTTATGTTCAGAAAAATTCGAAACATTCGAAATTTGGGCAATTTTCACATTAGAGGTCCTCTCATTGTTATGCGCAGAACAGATGCGCAGAACGGACTTGACTTCCCCTTTAAATAGACACGCAAATTATATTTGCGTATATATCTTGATTGTTATTTAATGGAGGCCTCTGAAACTAGGCTAAACTATGAAAACAAAGCATAGGATAAACGTAGCCCTGTTGTTTTAAATGTCAGAAACTATTATTAGCTCATGACTCCATGTACAGACGTCTAATCCCACGTCTTTAATAAATCCACACATTTTACAGCCTTAATTAATTATTTTCTTTAAATTGTTCTTAAAAGTAATGAACTGTATGAATAGCAGATATTTAGCTCCAGATAAAAAGAAACATTTTTGTATGATTGTTATCAGTTGCCGTGATTCGGGATATAAATGGTTCTCGTCCTCTTAATTTAGAAGTCACTAGTTAAATGTAAATATTATATCTGAAGCAGGCATATAATTTCAACTAGCACAATTTCGCACAATTGCTGTAAAAATGTCATTTCGAGAATGCACCATCAATGAATGCGAAACATTTCTACTTACTGCGAAAGCGGACAAAGTGGGACAATTCAATACAATCGCTCATGTGCAACCACCGTATTTCGCAGACACAAGCTCTCGTGACGAATTTCGCCGTCGTGGAATCAGACCTTAAGATTCAGACACACCGGACGCGCTTCGACAACGCGACGCGATTTTTCAGTATAATTAGTTTGAAAAACAGCCAATGAGAGCAAATCAGTTACAAACATATGTAGACCAAGTAACTTAGAATGTTATAGCGCTTCTAAATATTTGGAAAATTTAAACTTGGATTAAATTTAACGGTCAGTGAAAATCGAAAAATCGCGTCGCGTTGTCGAATCGCGTCCAGCGTGTCTGGACCTTTAATGCGCAGATACATGTACGCGGTCGCGTACCTATTTTTTGACATTGTTGTTCAGATACAAAAGTATATCTTCAATGCGCCAATGTCGCGGAGATGTTTTACTCTCGATGTTCATTGTTGAAATGATGTATAATTTGTAGTCACAGGGCTTTTATACAAGTTCAGCCAGGCTTTCCAAAATAGGACTTAGTAATAGTCCAAGGAAACCTTCACCATGCTGAATGAGTATCCGTTTTTTTCTTCTTCCACATTTTCCTTTATCTACCAACCTAAGCATTTCATGTCTGTAAGGTCGGAGTTTCTTCATTACATGCTTCGACATTAAATATTTTCTTTTCATAACGTTTTCTACACAGAGACACAGGCAGTGTACTTGCCCGGCGGTTGCTGTTTCCAGTAGTGCTTGTTGTTGATCAGGCTCAGACGTGCCCAACAATTCAAGAAATGGCTTGTGCCTTAGAAGATTGATCATTTCTGTTCGACGGTT